TGGGGGGGTGGCAGGGTTCCGGGGGGGTGTCTATCTCTACCGAGGGCTGGGGGGGGGCAGGGTTCCGGGGGGGGTCTATCTCTACCGAGGGCTGGGGGGGGGCAGGGTTCCGGGGGGAGTCTCCCCCCCCGAGGGCTGAGCATGGGGGGAGGGTTCCGGCTGGGGCGCGGCGCGGGCGGGGGACTCTGCCGGGGCCGCAGGCCGGTCCCGTCTCACCTGGAGCAGCACGGAGCGGATGAGCGCGTTGACGGGCGCGGTGCAGGCTGCCACGGGGCCGCGCACGCCCTGGAAGCACCACAGCACGAGGCCGCCCTTGCTGAAGATGGTGAAGAAGTCGAGCATGGCGGGGCGGGCTCCGGGCCGTGCCCGGGGGAACGGGGACAGGAGGGTCCGAAGCGCCGGGTAACCGGCCCGACCACCTCGCCACACGTCAGACTAACTCCCTACGTCACTTCCGCCGGAAACACCACGCCACGGCTGGGGCACAATGCAGGGGGCGGGGCCGGAAGGAGACTTTGATTGGTCCGTTTCGTGCGGGGGGCGGGATCTAGTGACCATACGGTCCTATTCCTGCATTAGGGGAGAACCGAAGCGCGAGACCGCGATTGGTCCGTTCTACGCATACAGGACGGCCTGGAGGCTCAGAGTGCCCTATCCGCGCGCGCTGTTTGGAGGCGGAGCCAGTAGTAGCGGCACTGATTGGTCCCTTATGGTAAGACTCCCTAGTCAGTCCCTACTCGTGGGCGTGGTCCAATGGGGGAAAGGCCGACATGGAGGACGCGGGTTGGAGGCTTGCCCGGGGGTGGAGTACTGTGGTCGGAGGCCATTGGTTAGCAGGGTGCCGGTAGTTGGGGGTGGGGCTTGTCCGCGGCTGTCTCCGGGCCGCGTGTGGGGCTGCCCTGTCTAGCCGACATGATCCGGGCTGGCCGCTTGTGCCGGGGCTTGGGGCTCCTCCGACCCCGCCCCTTGCCGGACCCCGCCGGGGGCTCCGCGCCGCCGTCCCGACAGCTCCGCACCGGCCACCCCCAGCGCCGGGACCTCTTCAGCGGTGAGGCGGCGTCCGAGCTCAGCTTGGGGCCCGGG